ATAATTATCGAGCCTCTGATTTGAGTTTGAAGTTCCTTTGCCAAAGAAAAATTGTCATGTTTGGAAGAATGGGGTTTGATCTGTCTTTCTTTCAGTCGAGGAGTGATGATGCAGTAAAATGGCTGCATTCCGCACACCAGCTATCTTTGCTGACCTTGTGGAAAAAGTATCTTCATGAAAAACAGGGACTTTGGCAGCTACTTGATCGGACGAAAAACCAAGTTTGTCTATGAGCTGAGGCATGAAGATAAACATAGGGGAGGCAGTTTTGTATAGTAAATAGTAATGCCACTTCCACATGGGGGTCAAATCTCAGTTCTAATATCCACAAGGCCAGTAATCTTGAGGAAGTTATGTAACCCCTCTAAGGTTCAGTTTCCTCCTCTATTAAATGGCGCTAAGAACACCGCCTCCATAGTGTTGCTAGAATTAGGCAAGATAATCAACATAAGGCAGTTGGAACAGTATCTGGCACACTGGGGGCCTCACCCCCTGCTTCCTTTTTCCTTAGCCCTCCAAAGATACTGAACTTCTCTTACTTCTCTTAGTTCCATGTTCTCTAAGCCTTACACTCTGTGTGGAAGGCTCTTCCCGTTAGTGTTTTCTTGAAAACCCTACTTTACTCTTCAAGTTTAACTCACATGTTTCACGACTCACCCAAACAGTCTTCAACATCTCTCCCATCCTTCCACTGTTTCTAGGAGCCCACCATTGTGATGTTCTTTACACAATAATCATTGGCCAGCATGTCTTTCTCTTCATACCACTCCTTGGGTGTGCCCAGCACAGAGTCTGGTACGTGGTGGGCATTCAATAAACAAGTTACTGAATAGAAAAATAGACAAATACTGTTTTTCACCATAAAGTCCAGGGTTATGTTCAATAAAATAAGAAAATCTTCTGGAGGTATTAACAATCTAATGCAATCAATTAGAAAGGATTCAACTAATAAAATATAAAGTGCAGTCCCATTTCAGTTTTAATTAAACTCCAAAGCTTTAGAAATGACAATTCAAATATAATTAGACCCAGAAGATATTTTAGATCATTTTGTGACAGAAGGAGATTTGTGAGGTCAGTGGAAGGAGGCTGATACCAGGACCCAACTTGTATAAGAGAAATTCCACAGGATTCAAATTAATGTCCCAAACAGCAAATTACCATTTTTTTCTGTCATTTTTATCATTTTTTTGCCATGTCATAAATATTCTGAATAATAAAGCACTAAGAGGTTGGGTATATAAAAGCACACCATTAACTAGGTATTGTTTTCACACTAAACTAAGGGTCTATGGAAACAGTTATATCCCTTTTGTTGTTTCAAGGGGATATGCAGTTCTGGGGCAGTATCTTTATAATGGAACTAGAGCTAAGAGCTAGGTCTGGAAACCAGCTTCTCTGGCCTACGCTGCTTTAGCAGGTAAGATACCAGCGGACTGATAAGGGCAGAATATTTTCACATTTGCTAAACGAGAACTAGGGGAATATGCTCTAAAGAAAATTTTGTAAAGACACACTACAGAATGCCAGCCCTCAGGTAGTCTGCTGACCAGCCATTGTAAGGTATCAGGGTAAAGGCTGGGTATCCCATAGGCCTCTGGGAAAATGCCCCACAGAGCGAGGGAAAAGCAATGCTTACTCTCAGACAGGTCCCATAAGAATTTCTCACCTGTGGCCAGATCACTCAGGATCTCTTCAGGGTTGGAGAAGACCTGTAATATGAAAAGCTTATATAGATCACAGTTGCTATTGTAGACTCCATCTGCAATGTCACAGAAGTGTGTGTGTGTGTGTGTGTGTGTGTTTACATGTGATAACACCATTATCTATTCCTCAAGATGCAGGACAATCTGATACTTTTGAAAACATAAATACTGGGGAGGCAGAGTGTGTCCAGACTGACACTCACAGAATCCAGTCTATAGGGCTTTTTCTGGCTGAGCCAAGGGGTAGCTGTGTATGTTGTGTATAGGCTGCAGAATCTGTGTTTTTGCAAGACTGAAATCATGGTAGGTCCAGAAATGAATGCCCAATTCCATTTTTCTGGTATTAAAAAAAATTTTCAACACTTACACTCCCACAGGGAGAATGAATTGTGAACTGGCCACATGCAGAGGCATTGCTTTGATAGTTTGATACTTCTAGTTAACGTCTAAAAACTCTCCAGCTGCGAAAGCCATATATGAACTCTAAAAAGTCTGTACCTCATCTGTTAAGTTCCCATGCCTGGACAAGCTAATGTCAACTCACCATGTGATGCTCAGTTTGTACAATAAATGATGAGCCTGGAAAGAAAAGAATCCAGTATACATTTCTCATCACTTCCCCACTAGGTTATCTCTAGGTTTTCATGGAGCAGTGGTTATTCCCTAATCTGATATCTCCCTCCATGTGGTGGGCGCTCAGTGCAATAAATGCTTCTACTGTCTATCTTCAGCTTCCTTGATTCGTCCCCAGAGAAGAGGGTCTACTCTTACTGGTGACTTCGGGAGGGAAACCAGGTAAAGAGAGCTCAGACCTTTCCTCTATCCTTATTCTAGGGAGTCAGAAAGCAAGGATTTTATTCTGATTCTCAGTTATAAGTTCTTCAGAAGGAGAGCTCCATATGGGAGACTGGTGGCTTGTGACAGGTGGGTACGTCTGCCCGATTCTGGAGTACTGTATTAGAAATCTCATTCCACTGCACCTAAACCACATTCGCCAACCTACATATGGTTCAGAACTGGGTTGGGGAAAAGGGGTATACTTATGGGCTCCCTGTAATCTCAATAGATTTGTAGACTCATTTGATATTATGCATGGTGTTACCACCTTGTCTTTGTCACAGCAGGACAGATGGCAGTATCTAATGACTGGCCTCTGGTCCTTTGGGGAGATGCCCAGTCCTTAATGGATTTCCAAGATAAAAGCCTTCACCTACAGTGTTTGCCAGTCTCTGCGGTGGGACTATCCACACCATGGCTGGTATCAAGCTATACTTGGGACATCATTGAACAGAGTTGGGAGGAGATGTTCACAATCTACTCTCTCTAGTCAGTGAAGAGCCAACTCCACAATCCACTTCATCCCTTTAGAGACAGAGAACATATCCTTCCACAGGAGTAGATGCCTCTGGCACATGGCTGGATGCACACCTTTGAGGTCGAATTCTTGTTTGGTGATGGTTTGCTGCCTTAAGAACTGGCTCAACTGCAGAGGAAGGCCAAGCCTTTGTGTCATATTCAGTGGCAAGTCTACTGTCAGCTCAATACATAATTAAAGGAAACAAGATGAGAACAAGGCCACTGCAGGTGGCCACACCAGGAGCCAGCCCAGCATGGATTAGAAGGAATTTCTTTCTTCTTCTTTTTTTAATTCTATTTTATTTTTTCAGTGTTCCAAGATTCATTGTTTATACACCACACCCAGTGCTCCATGCAATACATGCCCTCCATAATACCCACCACCAGACTCACCTAACCCCCCACCCTTCCTCCCCTCCAAAACCCTCAGTTTGTTTCTCAGAGTCCACAGTCTATCATGGTTCATCTCTCCTCCGATTTCCCCCAATTCACTTTTCCTTTCCTTCTCCTAATGTCCTCCATGTTATTCCTTATGCTCCACAAGTAAGTGAAACCATATGATAATTGACTTTCTTTGCTTATTTCACTTATTTCACTCAACATAATCTCCCCCAATCCCATCCATGTTGATACAAAAGTTGGGTATTCATCTTATCGGATGGAGGCATAATACTCCATTGTATATATGGACCATACCTTCTTTATCCATTCATCTGTTGAAGGGCATCTTGGCTCTTTCCATAGTTTGGCGATTGTGGCCATTGCTGCTATGAACATTGGGGTACATGTGGTGCTTCTTTTCACTACATCTGTATCTTTGGGGTAAATAACCAGTAGTGCAATTGCAGTGTCATAGGGTAGCTCTATTTTTAATTTCTTAAGGAATTTCCACACTGTTTTTCAAAGTGGCTGCACCAACTTGCATTCCCACCAACAGTGTAAGAGGGTTCCCCTTTCTCCACATTCTCTCCAACACATGTTGTTTACTGTCTTGTTTAGGCCATTCTAACTGGTGTAAGGTGATATCTCAATGTGGTTTTGATTTGAATCTCCCTGACGGCTAATGATGATGAACATTTTTTTCATGAGTCTGTTAGCCATTTGTATGTCTTCTTTGGAGAAGTGTCTGTTCATGTCTTCTGCCCATTTTTTGACCTGATTATCTGTTTTTTGTGTGTTGAGTTTGAGGAGTTCTTTATAGATCTTGGATATCAGCCCTTAGTCTGTAGTGTCATTTGTGAGTATCTTCTCCCATTCTGTGGGTTGCCTCTTTGTATTGTTGACTGTTTGCTTTGCTGTGCAGAAACTTTTGATCTTGATGAAGTCCCAAAAATTCATTTTCACTTTTGTTTCCTTTGCCTTTGGAGACATGTCTTGAAAGAAGTTGCTGTGGCCAATGTCAAAGAAGTTACTGCCTATGTTCTCCTCTAGGATTTTGATAGATTACTGCCTTAGGTTGAAGTCTTTTATCCATTTCAAGTTTATCTTTGTGTATGGTGTAAGAGAATGGTCAAGTTTCATTGTTCTATACATAGCTGTCCAATTTTCCCAGCACCATTTATTGACGAGACTGTCTTCTTCCCACTGGATATTTGTTCCTGCTTTGTTGAAGATTAGTTGACCATAAGCTGCAGTCCACATGTGGGCTCTCTATTCCATTCCAGTGGTCTATGTGTTTATTTTTGTGCCAGTACCATGCTGTCTTGGTGATCACAGTTTTATAGTAAAGCTTGAAATCAGGCAATGTGATTCCCTAGTTTTGTTTTTCTTTTTCAACATTTCCTTAGCAGTTTGGGGTCTCTTCTGGTTCTACAGAGCAGAGGGAAAAGCTCTGCTCTTAGAATTGTTTGTTCCAGAGGATCTGCCGGACCCTTGCTAATTCAATTCTCTTTTCCCATTCCGGGCCCTTCCCTATCATCACCCCCTTCACCTTGGATCATGTTCAAGAAATTTGATGAAAAAGAAAATGTGTCGAACTGCATCCAGTTGAAAACCTCAGTTATAAAGTGTATTAAGAACCAGTTGATAGAACAATTTCCAGGTATTGAACCATGGCTTAATCAAATCATGCCTGATTTGACAGAAAGATCCTGTCAAAATAGTGCGATGCCATGAACATATAGAAATCCTTACAGTAAATGGAGAATTACTATTTTTTAGACAAAGAGAAGGGCCTTTTTATCTAACCCTAAGGTTACTTCAAAAATATCCTTTTATCCTGCCACACCAGCAAGTTGATAAAGGAGCCATCAAATTTGTATTCAGTGGAGCAAATATCATGTGTCCAGGCTTAACTTCTCCTGGAGCTAAATTTTACCCTGCTGTAATAGATACAATTGTTGCAATCATGGCAGAAGGAAAACAGCATGCTCTGTGTGTTGGAGTCATGAAGATGTCTGCAGAAGATACTGAGAAAGTCAACAAAGGAATTGGCATTGAAAATATCCATTATTTGAATGATGGGCTATGGCATGTGAAGACCTATAAATGAGCCTCAGAAGGAATGCATTTGGCTAAATACGGATATTGTGCTGTAACTGTGTTTGTGTCTGTGTGTGACAGCATGAAGTCAATACCTCTGTGGTTATGCTGAATAAATTCAACAGATGCTTAAAAAAAAAAAAAAAAAGAATTGTTTGTTCCAGCACTTTGAAAAATGCTGATGGAATTTTAAGTGGGATGTCCTTGAAAGTATAGATTGCTCTGGGTAGTATAGACATTTTAACAATGTTTATTCTTCCAATCCATGAGCATAGAATGCTTTTCCATCTTTTTGTGTCTTCTCCAATTTCTTTCATGAGTGTTCTGTAGTTTCTCGAGTATAGGTCCTTTACCTCTTTGGTTAGGTTTATTCCCAGGTATCTTATGGTTCTTGGTGCTGTAGTAAATGGGATCGATTCTCTAATTTCCCTTTCTGTATTTCCATTGTTAGTGTGTAAGAAAGCAACTGATTTCTGTGCATTGATTTTGTATCCTGTCACATTACTGAGTTGCTGTATGAGTTCTAGTAGTTTGGGGGTGGAGTCTTTTGGGTTTTCCATATAAAGTATCATGTCATCTGCCAAGAGAGAGAGTTTAATTTCTTCTTTGCCAATTTGAATACCTTTGATTCTTTTTGTTGTCTGATTGCTGTTGCTAGGACTTCTAGTACTATGTTGAACAACAGTGGCAAGAGTGGGCATCCTTGTTGTGTTCCTGATCTCAAAGGGAAGGCTGTCAGCTTTTCCCCATTGAGAATGATATTTGTTGTGGATTTTTCATAGATGGGTTTTATGAAGTTGAGGAATGTTCCCTCTATCCCTATACTTTGAAGAGTTTTAATAAGGAATAGATGCTGTATTTTTGTCAAATGCTTTTTCTGCATCAATTGAGAGGAACATGTGGTTCTTCTCTCTTCTCTTATTGGTTTGTTCTATCACATTGGTTGATTTGCAAATATTGAACCACATTTGCATCCCAGGGATAAATCCCACCTGGTCATCGTGGATAATCTTTTTAATGTACTGTTGGATCCTATTAACTAGGATCTTGTTGAGAATCTTGACATCCATATTCATCAAGGATATTGGCCGGAAATTCTCCTTTTTGATGGGGTTTTTGCCTGGTCTGGGGATTAGGGTAATGCTGGCTTCCTAGAAAGAGTCTGGAAGTTTTCCTTCTGTTTCTATTTTTGAAACAGTTTCCAGAAAATAGGCATTATTTCTTCTTTGAATGTTTGGTAGAATTCCCCAGGGGATCCATCAGGTTCTGGGCTCTTGGTTTTTGATCACTACTTCAATCTCGTTACTAGATATTGGTCAGTTCAAGTTGTCAATTTCTTCCTGATTTGGTCTTGGAAGTTTATAGGTTTCCAGGAATGCATCCATTTCTTCTAAGTTGCTTAACTTATTGGCATATAACTGTTGATAATAATTTCTGATTATTGTTTCTATGTCTTTGGTGTTAGTTGTGATCTCTCCCCTTTCATTCATAATTTTATTAATTTGGGTCCTCTCTCTTTTCTTTTGGATTAATTTGGTCAGTGGTTTATTGATCTTACTAATTCTTTCAAAGAACCAGCTTCTAGTTTCGTTGATGTGTTCTGCTGTATCTCTAGTTTCTAACTCATTGATCTCTGCTCTAATCTTAATGATTTCCCTTCTTGTGTGTGGTGTTGACTTAATATGTTGTTGATTTTCCAGTTCTTTAAGGTGTAAAGAGAGTTGGTGTACTCAGGATTTTTCAGTTTTTTTGAGTGAGGCTTGGATGGCTATGTATTTCTCCCTTAGGACTGCCTTTGCCATATTCCATAGGTTTTGGACCAATGTGTCTTCATTCTCATTGGTTTCCATGAATTGTTTGAGTTCTTCTTTGATTTCCTGGTTGATCCAAACATTCTTGAGCAGGGTGGTCTTAAGCTTCCAAGTGTTTGTATTCCTTCCAAACTTTTTCTTGTGGTTGAGTTCCAGTTTCAAAGCACTGTGGTCTGAGAATATACAGGGAATAATCTCAATCTTTCGGTATCAGTTGAGCCCTGCTTTGTGATCCAGTATGTGGTCTATTCTGGAGAAAGTTCCATGTGCACTTGAGAAGAATGAGTATTCTGTTGTTTTAGGGTGGGACGTTCTGTATGTATCTGTGAGGTCCATTTGGTACAATGTGTCATTCAAAGTTCTTGTTTCTTTTTTGATTTTCTGCCTAGATGATCTGTCTGTTACTGAGAGTAGCATGTTAAGATCCCCTACAATTAATGTATTCATATCAATATGATTCTTTATTTAGATTAACAGTTGGCTTATGTAGTTGGCTGCTCCCATATTAGGGGCATAAATATTTACAATTGTTAGATTGTCTTGGTGGATGGACACTTTAAGAATGATGTAGTGTCCTTCTGTATCTCTGACTACAGTCTTTAGCTTAAAATCTAATTTATTTGATATGAGAATTGCTATCCCAGCTTTCTTTTGAAGATTGTTCTCCATCCTTTCACTTTCAGTCTGGGTGTATCTTTAGGTTCCAAATGTGTCTCTTGTGGACAGCATATGGACAGGTCCTGTCGTTTTATCTAGTCTGCAACCCTGTGCCATTTTAAGGGAGCATTTAGGCCATTCACGTTGAGAATGATTATTGAAAGATAAGTTTTTATTGACATCATGTTGCTTGTGAAGTCCTTGTTTCTATAGATTGTCTCTGTAAACTTCTATTCTATGTCACTCTTGGGTTCTTTCTTCTTTTATAGAACCCCCCTTAATATGTCTTGTAGTGCTGGCTTGGTAGTCACATACTCTTTTAAACATTGCCAGTCTTGGAAGCTTTTATCTCTCCGTCCATTCTGAATATCAAGTTTGCTGGATAAAGTATTCTTGGCTGCATGTTCTTCTCATTTAGTGCCCTGAATATGTCTTGTGACCCCTTTCTGGCTTGTCAGGTTTCTGTGGACAAGTCTGATGATATTCTGATGGTCCTTCCTCTGTACATAAGGAATCGCTTCCCCCTAACTTCCCTTTAGACCTCCTGTCTGAAATTGCAAACCATGAATTTCACAATTAAGTGTCTGGAGGTCTTTCTAGACTCGTTGATCTTGGGGGTTATCCTTTCTGCCTCTAGGACATGAACACCTGTTCCATTCCCTAGATTAGGGAAATTTTCATTGAGAATTTGTTCAACTGTATCTTCTAGTCTTCTCTCTTTCTCCATCCCCTCAGGGATCCCAATAGTTCTGATGTTGGAACGTTTCATGGCTTCATTTATTTCCCTAATTCTGTTTTCATGGCTTCTAAGCTGTTTGTTCCAGGCCTCCTCCTGATCCTTCTTTTCTATCAGTTTGTCTTCTAGATCACTAATTTGATCTTCTGCCTCAGTTACCCTAGCTGTTAGAATATTTGGATTAGGTTGGATCTCATGGATAACACTTTTTAGTACTGCCAAATCAGCCCTCACTTCCACCCTTGGAGTCCCTTAGAAGGACTTTCTTTCTGAGTTCCTGCATTTACACATTTCCCTACTTTTATTTTGGAGCTCGACAATCACTTCTCTGTCACATAAGAAATGCAATTTCTCCATCCTTAGCCCTCATTTTCTAAGCCACAGAAACACTAGGGTTTTAATTCTATGTAATGGCTGAATGATCAAGGCTAGTTGCTTATACCATCTTAATCTTTATTTTCCATATTTGAAAAAAATGGAGATAGTGATTTTCCCAGAAGATTGTTGTAAATATTATAAATTGATAAATGATGTTTCTTAAACAGTTAAGGTGTATGTGGCATGTAACAGGCCCAGAATACCTAGTAGACATGTTATCACCCCTCTGTTGGTGGCAGGGGTGCACACACAGCCCAAGGAAGTGGAGTGGCAAGCAGAGCTCAGCAAATGCAGTTCCTTTTCATTCCATTCCCTCAATTTGTGCTATTTACATTAATTTTATCCACTTGGCCAGACTGTATATCTGTTCTCCTTCCAATTCCATCTTCTTCTGGGCCTTCTTCTCAGAAGTTATCACTATGGAGGGGCTACAGGAACTGTAAGCAGGAGGGCCCTACTCCTAGCAGTGGATAAAGAGAACTGTCTTTAACATGCAGGTCTATATGATTAGTGTTTCATGTTTTAAGATACGCATTTAAGGGCATGCATAATATTCCATTTAGTAGACACACCATATTATGTCATAATTATTTAACTGGATCCTCAATTAGGTTGTTTTCAATATCTTGCTATTATAAAAAAAATACTTCCTTGAACATTGATATGCAAAAATTCTTGCCTACAGATTATATCATTAAAAGGGGATATATATATACACACACATATATATATGGTGTTATTATATATAGTGTGTGTATGTGTGTGTGTGTGTGTGTGTGTGTGTGTGTGTGTGTGTATAATATTACAATGTTTTCAAATATAGCCAGCAGGAAATGCATGCCTACAAGAAATAATTCTGAAGCCATTCCAAGCCCTATCTGAGGAAAGTTGGGCAATTTTCTTCATAGTCAACCCACAGCAATCTTTTAGGATCCCATTCCCTCCTTCCTCAACACTCCTCCCATTATTTTTATATATAACTTCCAAAAATAATCCAGAATATCCAGAACACAAAGGTACCTCAGCAATAAGATACATAAAGCAATAAGATACATAAAGCAATAAGATACATAAAGCAATAAGATACATAAAGGTATCTTAGCAAATCTGCTTATTAGGTTGGATTCCCCAAGAAGCCCCATGGAACAAAGATTCAGGTGCAAGCAGTTTTTCTGGGGGTAGAGGACTGGGAAGGTGAGATAAGGAAGAGCAGGAAGTCACTAAAGGATGCTTATTAAGTCAGTCACTACTATGGGTAACTGACACTGAGTACCTTGGGAGAATCGCTTGGAGCCAGTGTAGATGGCTCAGAGATGACCCTAGTGGCAGGGACCTGAGGTATTTATTTACCAAATCCTGTTAGTCACTGATTGACAGCCCCTGTTGGAAGGCATTACTACTCTGTGGCAAGGTGGACAGTGTGGATTT